ACTATACACAACTATTACAATGTGAACAGACCAAAGACAGAGGAAATGTCTTAACCACAGGGGGTATAGACTCCAAAAAGCACACCAAACAAATTTTCTCTGTGCATAATCTTTATAATATATAAAGGAAAGATACACTGCCCTCCTTGCCCATTGCTAATTTTGCATCAATTGATCTGCATAATTTTCCAAAATCACCAAAACATTGTGCAAATTCCTTTGTTCTGGGTTGTAAGCATTTCCAAGCATTTTTTTCATATTTATAGTCTTCAGGAATTTGCTAAAAATTATTTTCTAGACTATGACAAGGAGACAGTTTGGGAATGATGATGAACTGACACATTGACCTTTTAACAAGGTTAGATGGGGTTGCACATCCGAGATGTACCCATTCCTAAGGATACAATTGAAGCGTAGGTAAAAAGAAGTACAGCAATAATTTCAGCTTTAAGTCATATACCACATAAGAAACATACATAAACTTTTACTGATAAGTAAGTATGTATACTTTTTTTTAATATCTTAAATATATGAGCCATTAAATCTTCACTGAACTGGACTTGGGCTAAATTACCTTACTTGGCTGTACTGAAACATTTCAAAACATGACAGCTAGACCACATAGATTTCCTTCAACTTTAAATGATTCTAGAAATTTACACTCAAACTTCTGAAAGACTGACGTAAAATCAAAACTTTTAAAATTATCTTCGTGACAAGTTTGACATTTTATTTCATTTAGTTTCCCTATAACAAATCATAAATTTTACAAAAAGATCTGACAATTTTTTTTGCTAGACAAAGAATTTTCATTTTGTACACTCAAATATCTTTCGCATTATAGTGCACTAATAGTTGACATTAAGATAGAACTGATCAGGACACTTACCTCAATAGTTACACTGGGGAATTACTTGATGTTGCCATTTTAATGGGGAGTTTTCCTGTCTGAAAATAAAATTAGTACGTATATTATATTATTTCATGGTATCAATACATTAGATATGCATATAGCATGCTGGAAAATCGAAATCAACTTTTTATTGAAATACATTTGGATGGTACTTTTTTCAATTCTTTATTTCGTAAGCTCAAGTCTGTCCTTGTAGAGAAACTATTCTTTATGCTACAAAACGGTAATTTGAAAGACTTTTGTTCATTGGTTGAAATGGACAACACAATCAGTAGCGCGCGCCTGCATAGTACCAGTAGTTATAGACACTGTTACCCATCTTATCAAAGTTATAGACATTCTTACCCGTCTTATCAAAATTAGGGCTGTTGGCAGACTTCTGTTGGGAAAACAGTACTGTCCTTGGTATACATAATAAAGTATTAACTTATAAACACATGGCATCTGTTAATAATGGTTCACCAATGCTGCACAAATGAGACCCACATGTGATTTGCTATTTCTTGCCATCACTGACCATCAAAACACATTACATTGAAGACAGAGTGCCATCTCTCTGTATGCCAAACCTCCTGACTGTTAATAGTTTGTTCAGAAACAGTACCCTTTTTTTATCAAGTCAACTGAACCTTTTCGCCAAATAATTTTTATGCCAATTACGAGCTAACCAACCTCAAACATCATCTCAAACTTATCTAAACAGTATTTAAGCAATTTAGCAAAGAGGCCAGTTATGACTACATTTCCCCAAATTTTTATGCCAATTTGTTATGTTTTTTATGAAATCTATTAAAATCAAAGGCAAAATATCATACATGTAGGAATACCAATTCAGAGCCTTATAGTTTAGGCTAGGGGGAAACATATCAAAAACAACCCTGAGAGCAATAGTTGAAAAATTTTAAATCTATACACTATGTGAGGATGCCCAGGGGCAAAATGCTCACATGGATTACTTTGACCTCCCTGAACTTCAGAAGATTTCCCCCCTCCATATTCTCATGAAAATTTTTAACCCAATATTTGCCCCAGTACTCTTTAGCCCCAAGGGTCATAATTTAACTGAAATTGAATTCACACTATATGGGGATTTACTAGCATGGCCTTGCTGTTCAGGAGAATATTTTATAATGATTTTCCCTAGATATATACATTTTGTAAAAAAAGAAAAAAAAAATTCTGATTTTAGTGCCACCCAAACCCCTGTTTCCCAGTTCCATAGTGCTGACAAACTTGAATATACACAAGATGCCAATGTTTGCATATCAATATGATTTAGTGTTGATTTTTTTTTTTTAAAACTCCCTACATATTCCCATGTAAAATTTTACTTATTCTAGCCCCTTCCACTAGATATATTTCTATGTGAATATTTGATAACATAAATCCTCAAAAAGCTATATTTTCTCTGTCTTCTGCAAGAAGCTGCCATGATGTCCATTCACTGCCTTTTTTTTTTTTTCATTTTTTGGGGGGTGGGGATGAAAACTTTTCAAAATAAATGCTTTGCCAAATTTTAATGGTTTGATTTTTTTGAAGAGATCAAGAATAGAAAGCACAAGGTTGACATGGACAGAAGTTAACAATCCTAAACTTTTGGGTGATCTATTTTTCCTTGTATAACCTTCACCATAAAAACAAGAGCCCATGGGCCACAACACTTAGCTGAGTAATCTTGGTTCTGCTTTTCGTCAGAAGATGATTTTAAAAGATTCAACTTATTTCCACTTATTCCTATGTAAAACTTTGATTTCCTGTTGGGGCTAAACCCTTGCACCAGAGCATTCAAGGCTTTACCAAACTTTATTCTATTCTACATGGGGATGGTTGTGATATGACCGCAATTGTGCTTCACTGTTCTTCATCAGATTCTCTTTGAATCTTGACTACATGGGGATGTTTGCTTATGAATATGTTTAATTATAGACCTTCTATTTTTTTTTTTAAAAAAAGATTTTACAATATTAATCTATTTATTACAATGTAAAACTTTGACCCTCTACTGTTGCACCATCCTAGCCCAGGGGCCATTATTTGTACACCATGTAAAGAAGCTTATAATTTCAATTAGACTTCTCATTTCTGAATCAGTTCTTGAGAAGACTTTCCCATATATATTCCCATGTTAAATTTTATGCCTTTGATCTTTTGTGGCTTCATCTGAGACCAGGGACTATGTTCGAACAATTCATTAGTAAGCTTTCACATGAGTTTTACTTTGGTTTTTGAAAAAGATTTTTACAAATACTTTTCAGCTTGATATTAATTTATGCTATGTATGTGGTGTCTCAGCGTACTTAAAGGCATATTGAGGCAATCTAAAAAATCCCCATAATTTTCTAAATGCGGATTGAACAGAAATTGTGATTCTGTGGAATTATGACCCTGGGGAAATAAGAACGTACGCATTTACAGTAATCCCACCTTATTTTCACAATTTTTAGGTAATTTACCACTGAAAAGGGGCATAGCCCTTCACCAAGCAAACTTGAACCCCTTTCAAGTAAGGATGCTTTGTGGCAAGTATGGTCAGGTAATAGTCCATTGTTTCTTGGAAAGATTGTCCAGATATAACACAGAACAGGTGACAAACACTGATGAAAATGAAAGCTTCGAATCAGCGCAGCTAAACTTAAACAGTATTTAAATGATGCCTCATTTTTTTCATTTACCGTACTAAGTATCCTACAACACTGAACAAAAGTCTTGTAGTCTTGATACACCCTTTGCACTAGCTCATGTAGATTTCGAGACAATTTCACTTTAACAGAACACTTTCAGTTAATTAATAACCAAAAGAACACAGCTTTGGACCTATCATGAAAATAGCACCATCACAAAACCAAACAAAATAATACATGTATTCTAAAGTAAACTGTTGTTTGAAAATTTTTTCTTCTAAAAATTAACTTCAAGTATTTCATGGATATGGAATTGGGAAAGTAAAAATTTGTTAAGTGACTTAAGTCCAAATCAGAACAAAAATATTTTTTTCATGAAGCAATTCTTATGTTAACACTATCCTTTAATTAGCAAAACAGATTCAGTATTTTAAAATTTAAAAGCCTAGAGAAAAAAAATAGCTCATATTGATTAAAGTCAAGAGAAAATCTGAAGCTTAGCTGCAGTAATATTACACAATACCAAATGTAATTCAATTCTTTATGTTCTTCATGTTTCTAATAAATGTTTTTTTGGGTTTTTTTTCAAGAATTCCAAGACCCAGTACAGCATTATGAGGCTGTAAAGTTGTATCTATTATTTGTAGAGCTGTTCCTCGATGAAGTTTATTTTTATTTTTATTTTTACTTTTATTCACGTGCGAGAAATACCCGCGAGTTTCGTGGCCAACATTAACTCGCAAATATTAATTGCCACAAACCATTTATTTTGCTTTGTTTTAATAGAGAATGTTTCGTCGGTCACGAAATTTAATTGTCGCAGATTGATTTCAAACTAACGAATCGCGAATAAAAGATGATGCAAATATTAGTTGGTTTAGAGTATTCTGGTCTATGGCCATTGGTTAAAAATGCAAGTAGGTCACTCAGACACATTCATTTAGTTCTGAGAGCTATTTTGCCTCTATAAACAGATTTTTTTTAAATACTGATTAATCATTTTCATTCACGGGGATCAATTAATGTTCATGGGCAAGCAAAATTTTACTTGTTCATGGGGACATACCAGTAATTTTGTGGGTTACTTGTTTATAAGGTAGAAAAAAGATATGTTCGTGGGGATGTAAAGGTGACCCATGAAATCCACGAACATTCAGGTACCCCATGAATAATGCTGATTCCACAGTATTTGAAATAATATTATATAGTTTACAGTAAAAAAAAATGTCATTTACTTTTGAAGGAAAACCAATATCTTTGAAGCAGCTGCTGATGGGAAGTAATTTTCCTACATCAGCATGAATTCACATTTCACACATTTTCTTAGTAATTTGTATTATATAACATACAGTATCACCATGTGATTAATTAGAACAGTACATCTGTATGGGAGTAGGTAGGGAGTTTTCATAGACACATGATTTCTCTGGCAATGACGCAAGCTTCTTTTGGAGGGGGGGTATAAGTGTGCTGAGTTTCCTTCACAGAGCTCAGATACCATCGAGCCTGATTAAAGAATGATCAGAAATCTCTTACAAATGCATACGAAATATGACAGTAATTTTCTGACGTCAGACTTTTGTGAATTACAGATGTTCATCATTATGAACAAAGAACATAAACCCCCTTTTTCTTGGAGCCTATAAAGCATGTAAAAACATTCAGATGAGTTGTTAATAAAACATTTCATTATCCCACTTGATAAAACAAATTGTTATCCAATCAACAAGATGCAGACTAACATAGAGTGATTGCAGCCCTTGTCTAATTATGCACACCCTTATAAATGGGAGGAGATAAGGGTTTAGATCTCTATGATGGAGACAATTGGTATTTATAATTTATAGCACCATGAAGGATGCAACTTAGAAGTATATCAAAGGATCACCCATCTGTTTTATCCTATGGCTCTACACAATGTATTTACAGTGCTGAAATATTCCACTTTGATATCCAGACCTACTTCAGAATGCAGCATTGAAGGAAAAAATCAAAGCAACTACACCTCTCTTCAACAGAAATGAGGTACTCAATAGCAATGAACAAAGGCGCTGAGCATCTTTAGGTTGAAGCCATCATGAAACACTCAAAGTTCACTCTAAATCATAAGAAGGTAAATGAATATTCATGTAACTTGTCCAATTTATGGTGTATATGAGCTGATAACTGACACTAGGACATGTGACAATTCCTATAAGTGGTAAAATCAAAGCCACATAAAGTAGGTAAATGAATATTCATGTAACTTGTCCAATTTATGGTGTATATGAGCTGATAACTTACACTGGGTCATGTGACAATTCCCATAAGTGGTAAAATCATCAAACTTAGCCACATAAAGTAGGTAAATGAATATTTATATAATTTGTGTCTATTTTTTGTTGTGTAATAACTGACATTGAAGCATGTGACAATTCCAGTATAAAGTAGAATAACTCCAGTCAAACCAAAGCCATGTCACTTATGTACGAATATTATCATGCAGTCTTTCCAAAAGACATTGGACCATCAGACCTGACCAATGTACAGTGCCTCAGCATCCCAATTTTAGGATTCAATTCCCCATCCAGCCATATATTTTCTTTATTCATTCCTCCTTTCCTACTTCATTAATGAGAACTAAATAAGGACAAAGAAATACGTCAGAGGTCAGAGGTCATATACAGTTGCATAAAGTTATGCCCTTCTGATATATGGTAATTTTCTTTAAAAAAAAAACAAAACAAAACAAACAAGGAAACAACATACTATAATGCAACAAGAAGCCCATGGGCTAAAAGGCTCACCTAGTCACTATGGCCTTACTGTTCATCAGCAGATTTTTATTTCTACATATTCCTATGTAAAATTTTGATCACCTGTTGTGGCCACACAAATAAATCAAGCAGAGTAAAAACAAAGGCACCGAAAGACCATTAAATATTATGGACTAAATAATGTTGACCGGCAGTGAAATACTGGTAATCGGTACTGCATGATGCGGTCAACTTCTATATGACACTTCATGTAATTTTATGTTGGGGCAGAAACAACACACATTTTATTACTTTTTTAAAGATTTGTTTAAGAAAAGAGTTTGATTTCCAGAATTTTATTTATGATGACAGAGAAAGAAGAATTAA